AGAAAGCGCCCCAGTGCCTGGGACGCAGATGGAGCCGGCCTGAAGTCCAGGTGAGCAGAGTTGTTTCCTTGCCTGGCTGGATCGCTCTAGCTGGGTGATCTCAGGCAAGTTGCTTAACCTCTCTGGAGCCTCAGTTTTCTGCTCTCCAAAATGGGGGTGCTAGCCGCCCTATATCAGGGCCGCGATGAGACCGATGTTATCAAGGAGGTAATATTTTCCAGACCTGACACACAAAGCATTTAAAAGCTATTTGGTGTTGCAGTGATGATTGGTGAGAAGCGGGACCTAAGCTGCCCTGGTCACTGCAGTATGGCCAGTCTAGCCGGTGGTAGACAGTCCATAAATATTTGTGGAAGGATGACTGATTGCCACAAGATTCGGTTCTCACCCTGGAGGATCCAGAGCAATTTCTCCTCCTGTCTGGATGCGGGCTGTTGCCACGGCTACCAGCCTGGACCCGCTGAGCCTAAACCCGGGGAAGCAGGGAAGGAGAGAGGGGCTCTGCTGGGCTCCGAGCTGGTGCCAGCCACCCCCCAGTCAGGTATGGATTCCTAGGTACCTCCTTGGGCTTGCACCACCACCTGGAAGCCAGGGCCTGGGGGAAGGTCTCTCCATGGTGTTCTAATGCATCCTGCACATGAATGTGAGCCGTGGGCTAAAAGCTCGCTCTGCTGCTGCATGGACCAAAGTTCTGGGCTCTTCTCTGTGGCCTCTGACCTCCAGTGGCAACTGATTCTACCACTTTGAGCCCTGGTTCCTCTGATGGGGGATTGCCACAAGAGGAGAAGCTTGCCCATGATGGGACCAGGGCCTGAGGCAAAGCAGGTACTGTTCATTAGTAAGAACAGCAACTCATTACTTACCCAACTCCCCACTCAGTGCCCAACTCCCACTCAGCCCTTTGCCCCTCCTATAACATGGTGCCCTGGCTTGCCTTCTGGGCTCAGTCCAGAACGCTTCCTGCCACCATGGCCGATGGCAGGGGCCCTGTCCACTCCCGCTGCCCTTCCCCATACTCTTTGGAGGCCTCCCGGTCATGCTGACATGCTCCTGGGAGGCTGGGGAAAGGGGAGTGTCACCAGCTCATGCTGTGTGTTCAGGGCTGCATCAGTCAGCCTTGAAAAGAGCCAGGCACTTGGCTCTGCTTGGAGAGAAGAGAGACGCTGGGAAGCAATGGAGGTTTGTGGTTCACAGCTAGACCCTGGGCCTTCGGGCAGCTTCTCCCTCTGAGCCTAGTTTCCTTATCTGGAAAGCAGGGATGCCGATATCATTCACATAGTGGGAGAGTAGAATGAAATAATCCATGCAGAGTACCTGGCATGCTTAGTTATCACTATCATTCATTTCACTCCAGGCAACTGAAATGCATAAGGGAGTTAAAGCTGTGTGTATGTACACACACACACACACACACACACACACACATGCATAAAGGGAGGTAAATCTGTAAATCTGTAAATTTGATCTACCTTCCTTTATGCATATGTGTGTGCGAATATGTATATATACGCACACACATATGTATATATACACATATACATACATATATATATACACACACATATACATATACACACACACACACAGCTTTAACTCCCTTTATGCATTTCAGTTGCCTGAGTGAAATGAATGATAGTGATGTATATGTGTATATAAATTATATGTGTGTGTGTACATATATATAGGTGTGTGTGTGTATTTATATGTGTGTGTGTATTTATATATGTGTGTGTGTTTATATATGTGTGTATATATAAATTTTTTATTGATACTTGAATAAGTTACATATACACATTTCACAAAAAGTACAGAATGAAGGCCCTCCCTGGTGGCGCAGCGGGTTAAAGCACAACACAAAGAAGCTTAAGCCACTTCCGCATGAGTTCCATCCCCACCTGCCCTGGAGGAGACCACGTGGCGCGGCAGACCTCTCCTGACCCGCCCGCTGCTCCCCTCAGCAGACATCTACATGTTACACAGACTTCAGATCATAGAGTTTTCTCTCTTTTTCACTTAATATATTTTGGTGAAGTCTTCCTATCAGTCCTGAAAGAACTGTGTGTCACCTTTTCCAAGACTGTATAGCAGAGCTTCTCAGTCTCAGCACTGCTGACATTTTGGGGGAGTCTGTTTCTGGGGCTGTCCTGTGCACCTCAGGATGTTTGATGGCATCCCTAGCCTCTCTCTACTAGGTGCCAGGAACACCCTGGGACACTCCATCTCCCATTTGTGACAACCCAAAATGTCACAAATATCCCCTTGGGGACCAAATCTCCCCCAGTTAGAACCACTGCTGTGCAGGAGTCCACTGTTCCAGCAGCACCCTGGTTTACTTATCAGGCCCCCATGGATGGACACTCAGATTGTCTCATTTTCACCGTGACCAACATGGCTCTCAGGCATGCAGCCCTTGACCTGTGTGTGTATTTTAGAGGCCCAATCTCCTAATGTGGAACTGCACAGAACAAAGGGTTTGTGTACTTAACTGCAGAGAGGCAACTTGCTAGACGGCAGAAGCTTTTGGGGGTGGTCCACCTGACTCTGCCTGGGTTAGCACAATGAAAGCGTTAGCACAATGAAAGCGTCCCTCCTCTCACTTGGAAGACACAGACCTATTCACACTCCAACAGTGGCATGGCGTCCCAAGACTCAAGGGCGCCCACTCATGTTTAGGTCCCCTACAACAGTTGAGGGGCCAGTGACAGGTTGCTACACTGGACTGAAGAGGTGTTTGGAGAGGGCTGGCTTGGAGCAGGATCTGGGCAGAAATGGACGGGGCCGGGGCACTGGATTGGGGACATGAGAAGAGATGTGGAGGGACATCTGGGTTGCTTAAAATTTGGGGCAACTGTGGAACACTCTGTGAGGTTTTAAAGCCAGGGTGTGACCTAGTTAGATCTGGCGTCTCAGGATGCTAGGCTGGCCCTGGGAGCGATAGGGAAAGAGGCCTTGGGGAGTGTTAGCGCGAGCCCGCCCTCAGCAGCCCTCCCCCGCTCTCCCTCCAGGGTACGGCCACGCGGCGCCCGGCACGGACTCCGGCAAGGTCTTCTGCATGTTCTATGCCCTCCTGGGCATCCCCCTCACGCTGGTCACCTTCCAGAGCCTGGGCGAGCGGCTGAACGCCCTGGTGCGGCGCCTCCTGCTGGCAGCCAAGCGCTGCCTGGGCCTGCGGCGGCCCCGCGTCTCCACCGAGAACATGGTGGTGGCGGGGCTGCTGGTGTGCGCGGCCACCCTGGCCCTCGGGGCCGTGGCCTTCGCGCACTTCGAGGGCTGGACCTTCTTCCACGCCTACTACTACTGCTTCATCACCCTCACCACCATCGGCTTCGGCGACTTCGTGGCGCTGCAGAGCGACGAGGCGCTGCAGAGGAAGCCGCCCTACGTGGCCTTCAGCTTCCTCTACATCCTCTTGGGGCTCACGGTCATCGGCGCCTTCCTCAACCTCGTGGTCCTGCGCTTCCTGGCGGCCAGCACGCCCCTGCCCGAGCGCGCCGC